TGTTAATCTGTAACGAGCCTTGTTAATCTGTAACGAGCCTTGTTAATATGTAACCAGCCTGGTTAATATGCAACGAGCCTGGTTAATATGTAATGAGCCTGGTTAATCTGTAACTAGCCTTGTTAATCTTTAACAAGCCTTGTTAATCTGTAACGAGCCTTGTTAATCTGTAATGAGCCTTGTTCATCTGTAACGACCTTTGTTCATCTGTAACGACCTTTGTTAATCTGTAACGAGCCTGATTAATCTGTAACGAGCTTTGTTAATCTGTTACGAGCCTTGTTAATATGTAATGAGCCTGATTAATCTGTAACGAGCCTGGGTAATCTGTACCAGAGTGTTCTGAGGCTGAAATAGACCCTAGCTTGTCTCATTATGTGACGGTATAGCTGGCCTCCATACTCTGGCTCCTTCATCCTTTCAGATTGTGTCGACACTTCTGCTGGATTAATCAGAACTGATTATTTTGTAATTTGATTAACCAAGGTTACCTGGTTGCCCCCCATCCTGTGGCAAGGGCCAATTTCCACATTCCCTCCATTTGTATGTCCCATACTGTCAATACAGTAACTGGTGTCAAAGCCTCGAATCTGCACACACCAGACATGACAGGAAACACGTAAAACAAACAACGGGAAAATATAAAACAGTCAGTCAACACGCTGTGTTTCTGCTTACCTCCCCCCACTCTACATTTTTCGGAGGAAGAGGGTAGTGCAGTGGAATGTCATATGCTATTTCCTCCATGAACCATTTAAAACCCTTACATCGATGCTCCTCTCTGAAAAACAAATCAAACCAGGATCATACCTGGTGCTCAGTGATCCAGGTACAAACATCCAACAAAGTGAAGTCAGGTCCTCCCATCTGATTCTGACAGGGTCACATAGCTTCTCTCTCAGTTTTTAATGTTTTAGTCTAAAAACAAGGAACAGTCATTTACCATTTTAGCTTAATGTAAAGTTACATTTAAACAAACAAAAACATTATAGACTAATTGAATTTTTATAAAACTCAGCATTAAGTGCTCCTCCCTGGGCTGCCACCTTACCGTGGTGGAGGGGTTTGAGTGTCCCAATGATCCTAGGAGCTATGCTGTCAGGGGCTTTATGCCCCTAGAAGGGTCACCCATGGCAGACAGGTCGTAGGTGAGGGACCAGACAAAGTGCAGCCCAAAGACCCCGATGATGAGTGAAATAAACGGACTTAATGTTCCCTTGCCCGGACGTGGGTCACCGGGGCCCCACTCTGGAGCCAGGCCTGGAGATGGGGTACGCGGGCGAGTGCCTTGTGGCCGGGCTTTTACCCATGGAGCTCGGCCGGGCACAGCCCGAAGAGGAGATGTGGGTCCCCCTTCCCATGGGCTCACCACCTGTGGGAGGGGCCAAAGGGATCAGGTGCAATGTGGGATGGGTGGTGGCCGAGGTCGGGGACCCTGGCGGTCTGATCCTCGGCTACAGAAGCTGGCTATTGGGACGTGGAATGTCACCTCACTGGTGGGGAAGGAGACTGAGCTGGTGTGTGAGGCTGAGAGGTTTCGGCTAGAAATAGTCGGACTCACCTCTACGCATGGCTCTGGTTCTGGAACCAGTTTCCTTGAGAGGGGCTGGACACTCTTCCACTCTGGAATTGCCCCTGGTGAGAGGTGCCGAGCAGCCGTGGGCGTACTTATTGCCCCCCAACTTGGTGCCTGTGTGTTGGGGTTCACCCCGGTGAATGAGAGGGTGGCTTCCCTCCGCCTACGTGTGGGGGGACGGGTTCTGACAGTCGTTTGTGCTTATGCACCAAATGGCAGTTCAGATTATTCACCCTTTTTGGAGTCCTTGGAGGGGGTACTGGAAAGTGCACCTCCTGGGGACTCCCTTGTTCTGCTGGGGGACTTCAATGCTCATGTGGGCAATGAAAGTGAGACCTGGAGGGGTGTGGTTGGGAGGAACGGCCCCCCTGATCTGAACCGGAGTGGTGTTCTGTTGTTGGACTTCTGTGCTCGTCATGGATTGTCAATAACGAACACCTTGTTCAAGCATAAGGGTGTCCATATGTGCTCTTGGCACCAGGACACCCTAGGCCGCAGTTCGATGATCGACTTTGTCATCGTCTCATCTGATCTGCGGCCACATGTCTTGGACACTCGGGTGAAGAGAGGGGCGGAGCTGTCCACTGATCACTACCTGGTGGTGAGTTGGCTCCGATGGTGGGGGAGGATGCCGGTCAGACCTGGCAGACCCAAACGTATTGTGAGGGTTTGCTGGGAACGTCTGGCAGAGTCTCCTGTGAGACGGAGTTTTAACTCCCACCTCCGGGAGAACTTCGAACATGTTCCGAGGGAGGTGGGGGACATTGAGTCTGAGTGGACCATGTTTTGCCTCTATTGTCGAGGCGGCTTACCGGAGCTGCGGCCGCAAGGTTGTCGGTGCCTGTCGCGGCGGCAACCCTCGAACCCAATGGTGGACACCGTCGGTGAGGGATGCTGTCAGGCTGAAGAAGGAGTCCTATCGGGCCTTTTTGGCCTGTGGGACCCCGGAAGCAGCTGATGGGTACTGGCAGTCCAAGCGACATGTGGCTCTGGTGGTCGCTGAGGCCAAAACTCGGGCGTGGGAGGAGTTCGGAGAGGCCATGGAGAATGACTTCCACACGGCTTCGAAGCGATTCTGGTCCACCATCAGGCGTCTAAGGGGGGGGAAAGCGGTACACCACCAACACTGTTTATAGTGGGGGTGGTGTGCTACTGACCTCAACTCAGGATGTTGTGGGTCGGTGGGCAGAATACTTTGAAGACCTCCTCAATCCCACTGGCACGTCTTCCACTGAGGAAGCGGAGCCTGGGGACTCTGGGTCGGGCCCTCCAATCTCTGGTGCTGAGGTCACCGAGATGGTTAAAAAGCTCCTCGTGGCAGGGCCCCAGTGGTGGATGAGATTCGCACGGAGTTGCTTAAGGCTCTGGATGTTGTAGGGTTGTGTTGGCTTACACGACTCTGCAATATTGCGTGGACATCGGGGGAAGTTCCCCTGGATTGGCAGACCGGGGTGGTGGTCAGAATTTTTTTGCTTTGTTTTTTTTTTTTTTTTTTTTTTTAATGTTCAGAGGACCAGATTTAACTTTTTTGGATTTTTCTACCTGGATTATTGAGCATGCATCAGGATATGTGCAGGTATATTTATGTATGTGCAGGTATATTTATGTATGTGCAGGTATAT